AGGAGTGAATGATCGTGCTGCGGCTCGCTCGTCATCTCGCTATCCCTAATTATTTTATAAGCACTTGATTCAATATGCCAGGCCGAACGCGGGGCTTGAAGTTAATGAAAATGTCATTTGAAAACGTCTTGACATTTGTCTGTATCGATCTGAATCTTGCCTTTTATCTCTCATTATGTATTTTGGGGAGCGGGAATGAGGGAAGAGAGGAAGGAAGGGGATAATCAGCTCGTTAAGGAAACCCATCGGGGAAAAGGGTGGATCCTTCTGGTTCAGAGTACCGAAGGAAAGAAGGTTGTGACTTCCAGGCCCCACCTTTTAGATCGAGGGGGCTTCTCGTCCCCCCCCCCCTTAGTCAGAGCTAATCACTAGGAATGAACGCCTCCCTCCTTGATCTCCCTTTAGAGTCGCCTGGGCCGTGGCTCCAATACTTCTTTCCTTTCTAAGAAGGGAAGGGAAGGGGTGCCAACTGAACCGGAAGGGCGTTATATTCCCAGATATGGAATCCCACGTCCCTCAGTCCTAAGGAATAGGGGCTCTAGTGAGGGACAGGCACACTGCACGTGCTCAGAGATACTGTTGTCTTGGCGGTGGGAACTCGTGATTAGAATGCTGAACTGGGACTTGAAAAAACCCGCTTGTTAGACGCCAACTGACCCATTAGATTCATTGGGTGACCTTGAGCCGGTCACACCGTTGCAGCCTGAACCACCTCTCAGGGTTGTTGCAAGAAACCCTTGCAAAGGAGACAGTGACCTACCCTGCTTTGAACTCACTGGAAGAAAGGCGGATGAAAGATACAAATAGTAAATGCATGATCATTCAAGATGAAGTTTACGGCTGGAGCCCTGGCGCTAAGTGAAAAGAAGTTTCCTAACTAGAATGCATTAAATCCGGATCTTCTCCCAATCCCGGATCGACCAGATGTGACGGACTACAAACCCCAGGCGCCCCAAATGCTGGCTGGAGAGGGATGGGAACTGCAGTCTAAATGCTCCACCCAGCCTTGTAGTCCATAGCTGGATGAAATGTAATTAGTTAACCAATTGCAACATAATATTTAGAGTTTATTCAGTATCGTAACTATATCTCACATTTTCTTCCTTATGAACACAAACGACTCAATGAACACTGGTGTGTGTATGTGTTGTGTGTGGGGTCGGTGGAAATTGCTGTGATACTGAGGGTTGTTTCTACCCTCTTTATTATTTTACATGAACCACCGGTGGGGTTGTGGCTGGATCAACAATTTAAATTCAGGACTGATATTTTCTGTAGCACTTTCTAAAGTAAAGGGGGGGGAGTTCCTATCGTAACTGGACACAGGGCTCACCAGTGTTTAACCTGGTAATCAGTGGCCAGTGCTAAACATGTGATGCAGCGGTCACTTTGACGTGTGAAATGCACCTTTCGGTCATCCTTCAGCGAAGGGGAAGCGCTTGCAATAGACGTCATGTGTGATCTCAGGAGACCAGGCGCCCTTAGCACTTCTCATTTGTGATATTAAGCCATGAAAGAAGACGGCCGTCACTTTAAGTCCGGCAAAGTCTGCGCCAAAACAAGCTTCTGGGCCGGGAAGCAGTTTGGCTTCAATCCAGATCTTCCTCGTTTGACTCCGTATGGCATCCAAAACACTGGGTGCAAACGAATGTCGTTTTAATTTTAAGGATTTCTTATTGTGAAAAATTTAGTATCTGCACACCCTTTCCCCAACCGCTGCGCCCTGATTTACAGCGCGGTTCTGCTTCTACTCAGGGGCAAGTCTCGCTTAGTTCCATGAAGTTTAATCCCAGGAAAGCGTGCACAGAGTTCCGCTGCTTGCAGAACTCATCGGTCTGTCAAGGGCCATTTCATTATTAAACGGGTCCTATTTACCCTCCCTGTTTTGTTTTGTTTTTAATTTGATCCTGTTCGAATCCCACCCCACGGGATTGGCAGCTAAAAGAAAAACCAGACTCGGCTGCGAATCCGCGGGTCGCTTTTACTTGGTCCTCTTTCCTCTGGTAGGTCCCACCACAAGGAACGGATCCTTGTTGGGAAACTCAATTTTTTTTTAACTGGTCAGAGCAATGAAAGCAAATCCGGGGGAGATCGGGGTCCTGTGCTGAAAACCTGATCATTATCATCATGTAAAAACACTTTAAAATATCTCATTAGTTTGTTTTTTTAAAAAAAACCCAACGAAGCAAACAACCCCCTTAAGCACACTGATAAAAACTGAACATGCTCAGTAACTATGAAATGCTGAGCGCATTGAAAAAGAAAAAAAATTGAAAGCGTGTGCGCGTGTGTGTTTGTGTGTGTGCGCGCGCGCGCGTGTGTTGGGGGAGGGAGAGCAGTAGGGAGAATGGATTGGCCTCCTGGAGGCCTGCCCGAACAGGACAACTTCCATTAGGATCTGAGAATATATTGCAACATTTTGTTGAAGGCCCCACTGTTTTGTTTTAACAGCGGCAATGCTGTTTTCATTGGAAAGGGGTTTTTCATCTTATAGCAGACTTCTTATGCTTCTTGATGCTGGACCGTTAGAAGGTCTGGGAGGGAGCGGCGTGGCGGCGTGCCCTGGGAAGGTCGGCCGTGGTGGGGGCATTTCGGAGCCAGCCGGGCGTTCTCTTTATATCATGTGTTATAGTGGCCCTTCCGACTATGGACAACCCCAACTTTGCAACTAAGAAAGAAACCCTGCGCTGGTGGATATTTCACACAGCTCGGGTGCATTCAGAGTTGAGGGCAGAGAGCTTTTGCTTCAATTCAAAGGGCCAGGCAATCCAGAGGGGTGGTCCCTGTCATCTTCTATAGCACTGGACATACAGTTTGCAGCAAATGGCCAAATTAAGAATTAAAAAATCCTACATTAAGGGGATTCCCCCCCCCCCGCGCCTTTTCCCAAACCTTCCGAAGGCGATGCCCTAGCCCGGCTTCCAGAAAATCAGGGGTGGGCGCAATGTGGGTATGTCTTCCACCTGAGCTCCCTCCGCCCTACTTCTGGACCGAACCGTTCCAGAAGACTTTGGGAGAGAAATATCAATATGGGTATGTCTTCCGCCTGAGCTCCGTCCGCCCTACTTCTGGACCGAACCGTTCCAGAAGACTTTGGAAGAGAAATATTCTTTTTTTTCCCCCTCCCCCATACGCACCCATCTTCTATTTCTATTCTCCCGACTGCGATCAAAGAGGTACAAGGCTGTAGAGAAGGCCGGGCGATCGCCTTACGGTCGTTGGCAAGGATTTATTTATGCCCGTCCTATCCGAAAGCACAAGCGATGCGCAACTGCACATTGTTCTTTCCAGTCCTTTAAAATCACGATGATAACAATCACGAGGCTGAACCTTGCGCCGTCGGAATGGATTACATCCCACGGGGAAGCTTAAGAGAGGAACCTGCCGGAGTTTGGGAACGGGAAGGTCTTTCTCAGGTTGGATGGCGAGGCCTCTTCCCCCCCCCCCATTGATCCTGGCCCGAGCACCCCTTGTCTTGGGCAGCTTGGCGCCAGACAACTTGAAGGCCCGGCCGCCTTTTCATTGCCTGTCTCTCTCTTCTCTCCCCCCCCCGAAGCCCCCGCCCCGCGCCTTTCTCCCGAGGGAGGCAGATGAGCGGCCATCTCGTGGCTCGAAGGTTTCACAGCGAGGCTCAAGCCGTGCCTTTCATTGAGGGGCGGGGGCTTCACCCTCCCCTGCCTGCCTGCCCCCCCCCAGCCCTCCAGTCGCCCTCGTTTGACAAGACTTTGCGGGGCGGCGGCGGCGGCAGGAGGGAGCGAAGGGCAGGGGCAGATGATGAAACTGTCAAGAATCCAGGCTCGAATCCTGTTCTTGCGGCTCGAATACGACGCCACCACCACCCCCGTTGCTTCTGCCGTGCAAAAGCAAACCGTTCATCTCCCCTTTCTCGGCTCTCGCGGGCGCCGAAGGGAAATGAATTAGGAATAATAATAGAGGGGCGGAAGTTGGTGGAACCCGGTAGAGGAGAAAGGGACGCTTGCATCCCGAGAATAAATATGGGCTAGGCTAGGACCAACGTCTCAGGTACTCAGCATTTAGCTAGACATTCTGCTCAGGATTTTCTGGACTTCTGGTGACTTGGGTGGCCTGGCCAGCCACGAGAGCCATTCTTTTTTCCGTAATACAAGGCCTTTACTCGGGAGTAAGCTTTCTTACTCTCTCAGGGTCTCACTGCCGAGTCCATGCGGTTCAGAAAACCGCCTCCGACGGCTCGTCAAAGGTTCGCTCCCGTCCACGGGCAGGGCTGCTCGCTCAGACAGCCATCCCAGCCAGCTAGATGCACTTCCGACGAGAAAGTCAGGCGATCGTTCTCGTGTATTAGTCGCCCCTCCGGGCCCCGCCGAGTCACCTTGAGCCCTCCTGAAAAGGCTATTACGTTATTAATAAACGTCAGCAGCTGTGTTCAGCTTATTCTAAATCTTCACCTCCTGTGCTTCATCACTCCAGAACTGTATCACACCTATAATCCTATTCCATTACATTGGGCCAAAAACATCAACTTTCTCTAGTTAATCTAGGAACTCATCCAAAACATGCAGGTAATACCGGAACTGCGGATAGTACACTAGCCCTTTGGGCTACGCGACCCGGACCCAGCCGCTCGCGCCGGCTCCGCGACGTTCTAGAATTTTGAAACTTTCCGGGGCCGCCGAGGCGCTCGTGATTGGCCGAGCCGGAGGTAACCTCC